CGAAGAGTTGCTATTTAATGAAGTTATCTAATTTAATAAAGTCGCAACATCATAAAACATTATGCGTTGAATCATTACGTCACATTCAGTGGTAGTCTAGGTAGAACAATTGCATATATACCATAATGTTTACTTACGAGTCCCAGACTATAGTTTAATTTCTTTTCACTCCATTTTGTTAGTACTGCTTGCATAAAGTTGGTCAATTTATCCATAAATTTCCTATCAATAAATGGTGTTAGTAAAAATAGAATATTGACTTTGAAAATAAAACGAATTAAAAGATGCGCAAAATTATGGCCATGATTCTGACAATAATAGTGACAATGGATCTCAGACAAACACGCATTGTTTGCAACAGGAAGCTTATCACTCGTTATACACAAATCGTTAACAAAAGAGTATACAGATGTTATCATTATAAACCGACACAAAGACAAACATTATGCTAATATACACGGAACGGCAGGTGTAGTTATTTGTGTTGGTTTTTAAAACACTAATTTGAGCAGCGTCTTTCCGATATTTCGAGCTTTTGAAAAGCTGGGATGATGTATCTCTGGACAAGAATTTAAATTTAGAAAACAATTACTAATTTTAACCGTGCCATTTTAGGTCAGGGTGATATCAATGTGTAAAAGGCCTAAACTATGACTATGAGTGTTGATATGAATATTGAAAATATCTAGCACAGGTTGGCATCTCTTCACATATAACGATCTGTGTAAATTTCACAATGAAAGAAAATCATTATGTCTCCTTATGCCCATTACGTATATCAATGTGGTAAAACTTTGCTTTCTTATATTTTACCACCACTGTTTGCTTGATCAGATTGAGCTTCTGTATGGCTTCACTAATGTCGCCAACATTACTTGTAACGCTAATTTCAAATACTGAAGATCGTTTATTTTACAGAAGATAATCACGAGCTGAAACGTCCGCCCTGGTCGAAACTCCTGGCCGAAACGTCCGCGGGCGAAACCTCCGTGACCGAAACGCACGGCATTCAACTTAAATACCCAGGGGTCACCATATATTAAAACCTTACACCATGTGCGTTCTTGCTAAAACATAATAGACCCCTAGGGCTGGCAGCACATTGACAAACATTCACGTGACCCCCTACTGCGGACGCAGACATATTGAAGAAAAAACGCCCCCTATTGCAGACATATATTGAGAACATCCCTACCCCATAATGCGAGCATTCTCTGCCGTTTTTTTTTTGCACTCAAGTGGAGTGTAATCAACTCAAACAAGCTACTTATGGTTGTTGTGTATGTATCTCTTGTTGGTGTCATTCATTGTTTTATGGGTCCGCCAATTTGGGGCCTAGAGCGGTGTTTGGAAGTGGGCGGGCATATGATACGCGCAATTTGTTTGTTTGGAAGTTAATATCACTGTAATACATGTAAGAAGCATTGTATGTTAGTATATCTATCACTATCTATTCAGAAGAAATCAACGATGTGTAGTGTGAGTGTGTGTGGAGTCGTATTACTTTTACAATACAAGAGCGATTTCACACGCAGAATTTTATTTGTTTTTGGCACCTACCAAATGCAAATTCAACCTGTGTTCCTCTCATTCACAGATTGGCAAGCGGGGTTTCCGACTTTTACACATGCGTGTTCATAACGTTTTGTACACGCAACTACGCATACTGTAAACATATGAAACATGAGTACCAACGACAATGAGACTCGACAGTGTACGGCTGAAAACAAAACGATTACATATAAGATTGATTAAATAAAGCAAAGAAACTAAATTATATTTGTTAGCGTTTCTGCTACTGTTTATTGTGTTTCTCCTCCATTACTAGTCCAGGGTGTGTATACTTTAAAAGCAATTCAGTAGAAATAACGAATAGAATAAACAATTCAGCGTTCGTAACTATCCGCTGTTGCCCCGCCGTTACCGCGTAAAGTGCAGTACACAAACAACTCATCTGGATCGACGATGACACCGAAAATATCCTACGAAAACAAAGACGATAGTAAGAATGACAAAATAGTAAATGTCACTAATCTCACACATGTAATTATGAAATCCAATTTCAAGTTGTAACATTTTTTTTATCAAATAATAATATATATATATGTCTGTCTATGATAATGCGCCACGAAGCTTTACTATTTAATTACAACAATGGTAGAGAAATTAGATGTAACGGACATGCTAATTGTTATGTTTTTTCTTACGAAACAATATCAGATTCAAAAAATCATGGAAATTTGCATTTTTCATTGTTTCTATTTCGACATAATTTTTTAAGATCTCGAAAATTTTCCCTTTTCACATGGAATGAAAAAGTTGAAATAAGGATAAACCATAACATTGTTTAAATAATAAAAAAAGAATACATATAATAACAATCTTCGATGATTACAGCTTTTCACTATGTAAAATGTGATGAATTGTATATATGTGCAGTAAAATGCTTAAGAGTGGAAACATTTAATTCGGCCAAAAAACCGCGATCGATGTGGGTCCCATACCACGCATACAACGCGTGTAAATTACATTGTTTGTTTACAGAACGAGCGATGTATATCACCTTTCATTTTTAATTGTCGTTCACGGTGACTCTGTATAGTCTGTTTACCCTAACACGAAATGGTGATAACACCTGACAAACCTTTTGATCAAACACAAAGAGCAATATCTGAACCTGACTGTATAGCCCACAATGGTGATGACATTTACAGAAACTCCTACAAAATGTGGACATATTTGCACTGAATTTTTCATGGGAAAATATCTGGCACTCAAAGGGTTCAGGATGCAAATACAATATATATATATATGT